TGTGTATCAGTCCAGACAAAAGGAACGTCTTTCTTTAAGAGTTCAGTTAGTGGTTTTGCGAGATCCGCATAATGCTCTATGAACTGGCGAGAGTAGTTACACACTCCCAAGAAACTCTGTAGTTCTTTGAGATTGGTTGGGACTTTTAGGTTGTCTAGGCCCTGGGTGCGAGTCAATTGTGGTTGTACTCCGTCTGGGCCTACTAAGAGGCCAACGTAGTCCACTTTGGTTCTGCACCACTGGCACTTTGACAGTGAGATTTTAGCACCAGCAGTTGTTAGCTGATTTAGGACGTGGTCGATCTCAGCCAAATGAGAATCCAGTGTTGGCTGCCTCAAAAGGATGTCGTCCACGTAGATCAGTGTCCCACGCTCGTGGGCGTCTGGACATGCTTTGTTCAAAAAGATGTTGAACTCTGCAGGTGAGTTAGCGTAGCCAAAGGGACACCTGGTAAAGGTGTATTGTCGGCTGCCAAAAGTGAAAGCTAGTTTGTGTTGATCCTCGGCGCGCACAGGGATGGTCCAAAAACCAGAGGCGACGTCGAGGGTCGAGAAGTATTTACCATCGGTGACCTTTGGCAGTTCCTGATGGAGCTGAGTCATTGGCCACCTGGATAAGGGTACTTGTTTATTTAGCTTCCTGTAGTCTATGGTAAGTCTCCACTTACCATTTGGTTTTAAAACTGGCCATATCTTATCTTATCTTATCAAGGTCAAGGTTCTTTATTGTCATTCACATCATATGTGGTACATGTGGTGGAACAAAATTGTTTACACAGGGTCTGAGTTACATCCAACAGAAGTATAAATTATAAATAAAAACCATAGGAAGATCTACGATATGGACTAAGAATACGGTAAGCACTAACAGTACATAAACAATACGCCGAACAACAGCTTATCTTATCTTACTTGTTAGGAAACTGCAGAGTGGCGTACAGAGACTCAGTCCAGGTGTGGTCCATTGGCAGCTTCCTGAAGCGATGTAGGATCTCTGAGGCCAACGCTGTTCCCTCTGAGGAGCCTGGAGGATGAGCTGCCCTGCTGATCCGACTGACACACAAAAACACACACACACACACGAGAGTCTAAAACTTAGTGCTTTCACATTAACATCTTGAGTGTGCAAATTATTTTTATATATTTTATAGTAAACATGGTGTGTTGGAGCAGGTTTGATTGAACCAGTGTGTCCACGTTGTGTGATCATAACTTCTGAACTCCACCTCAAAAATACCAAATCCTTTAGGGTCCTACAGCATCTTTGATGGTATTATTCTGGTGCTTATACTAAAGTAAAAAGCTATTTAAAAAACAAATCTTATAACTTGTATTGATATTTTACTACCATTTCTCGTTATCTGACAGGTTTTATATCACAAAGATTTAAAAAATGTTCTTTAGCATTTTTTTTTTTTTTGTCAATAAAGCAGTTTTATTTTAAACAGGACATCTTGATTCTCAGGTAACTTAAATAATGCATGTCACTCTACAACATGATAACATGATCATCTTGTTGAGTTTGTACTGTCTGAAATGTGTAAGAATACCTTCAAACTGAGACTTTGCTTAGAATAAAAGTACTTTGTATGTCCGGTACCTGATGATGTTGTGGATATCTTCATCCTGCAGCAACCTCCTCATCATGTCTCTCAGCTCTCCCAGGTAAAGCCCCACCCCTGCTTCTGAAGGTGCATTAATCTCACCCTTTTGCTGCTCATCTTCCTCCAGGCCCCCCGCCTGAGAGCAGTGGTATCGCCCACTGAACACAGCGAAGGCCAACAGGAACGCTTATAAAGATAAACATCATCAGCATATAGTCATCAGCTTATAGTTTAAATACTGATTGATGAGTGTTTTCACCTGCAGTGAACATGATAAATCCATACACAAACAGCAGCATATAACCTCTCCGGTTACCATGACAACACCTCACCACTAAGGCTCTGAAGTTACAGATGGACTCTGCTCCTTCGTCATGCTCAAGTGTTACAAACTTTAGCTCCACCTCTTGGTCTTTGCCAACTTCCTCCTCTTCATCAGTTGAGTGGTGGATGGACACTGAGGAAGACTACATAAAGAAACATTGTAATAGCAATAGCAGGACAGAGGGGGCAGAGCTTCTTTTAGCTTAAACTGACCTGTGTCAGGTGAGTCGTCAGGTTGTCCATGTTGCTCTGATAAGGAGACAGGACAATTGGTTATCATGTGGAAAAGCAACACCAACAAATATACATTATTATATTCAGAACAGTTAAAGTAATCTGCACATAACTTTCTCCTAAAGTCTCCTCTTAGCCACTACCAGTGGTCATGAGAAAGAGGAGATATAGAATCAAGCTTCAAAACAACAAAAAAATATATATATGAAAAAGGTGGGTAAACATGTAATTGCCTTAGTGTGTTTTCACACCTGACAGTCCGGTAGACTCGGTTTAATTGGGGACCAAAATTGGAACATTTGTTTACATTTTCACTTGGTGCGGTTCACATTCACACTGCACTGAGTCAATCGAGCCAACCTGTTCCCCCCCTCGCCTGTGGTGGCGCTGCACCAAGAACTACTGAAGGAAACTGCACGAAAACCTTTGAAGAAGACACTGAGCACAGCTTACTTCTTCTGGAAATATAAACAAAAATAGAGTGGTGTGAAATTTTAACGGTTTTAGGACTTCTGTTTTGTCATTTTTCAACAATGGACTCAGCATGAGTGGGAGATGAGGCAGAAGACCACGGAGAATGTTGTTTTTCCACACAAAGTGGCTGAGACGGCTCTGTATGAGGAGGTGTGCACTGAGTAGGAGAGCATCCAACTTCATAGTTGTGATGTCCACCGTATACAGACATCAAGCAAGTGCAAGATATGGGTAACTCAATTACTATTATTGCTCAATAACATTAGATTATAATCAAAAATAAACAATGAAGTTATCCAACATCAAACAATACAAGTAAAATTTGGTTGTATTTACCCAGAATGCTCTGCGCTGTTTCTGCTTTTGGAGCGGTCTCTGGTCCGCTTGCATTCACAATGCATTCGAGCCGTGCTAGTTCACTTCAACCGACCCGAGACCTAGGTTTTCAGACGGACCAAAGTTCGCTTTTTTTGATCCACATCAGAGTTTGATTGCACATTCACACCTCCACAAATGAACCAGTCTTTCTAGGCAAATGGAGGAGAGTTCAATTAAAGCGGACTAAACAAGGGCTGGTGTGAATGCACCTTTAATCAATATGTGAGTTTGCTTTAGTAAATTTTGCATAAGCAAGGATGTGGATTTTAATGATACTCCTAAAAAGTAAATATTATGTTTATATCCGTGGTTAACATTTGATGTAAATGTTATCCAAGATGACCACCACATCTAACTGATCATAAAAAATAAAAATGGCTATAATTCTGTCAATGTTATCAGATATTAATCTAAAGTTTGGTATAGTAGTAGCTGAATGTTATTCACAGCAACTACTTTATCAACGGGGAGTGGTAGCGCAGAGGTTAAAGAAGGTGAACCTGTGATCTGAAGGTCGCTGGTTCAACTTCCTGGACCGACAACATCAAAATGTGGGTGGGAAAGGTGAAACACCCACACCTGCCTCCACCCTCATTTGCCCCACTCTGGGCCCTCTCTGCTCCACACAGAGGGCTGTGGTAGCTCGGTGGTCTGTGGTTGCATCAGGAAGGGCATCTGGTGTAAAAACAATCGCCAAGTCTTCGTGCCAGTTAGTTTGCTGTGGCGATCCCTGAAGAAGGGAGCAGCCGAAAGGGGGGAAAAAACTTAATACAACAATTATGTGAAATTATGTGTATTAATATTTTCAAACTATAATCCAAATGGCCATAACTCATTTTTCATTTTTCATTTTTCAACCTAGAAAGATGATTTTCATTAAAATCTTAGACATAAAAGGCAGTGAGCGATTTGCATTCGTCCAAGGACTGTTAGGTTTTTTAAGCAAATTTTCTTTAATTGTGTGCTCAAATTCTTTCATGCAACCTTTATTTAGACTGGTTAATCCCACTGAGCCTCGAGGACTCATTTATAAGAGAGACCTGAAAAAATGTCTACATTAATTATGTAAAAAATAGGTATTATACTAGTTATACTAGTTATTATAAGTATGAAAACCTTTACAGTATATATATATTTTTTTAGCAGCTGTACATCCTATTCTGCAGCCTGCATGCATGTGAAACATGATTTTAGTACTAAATGTTCACTTGTGCACATTACAAGTGAGTTTTTGTTCTTTTAATTCAAATTACAACACTTTTGTTGGACGGGATAAGAGGCGGGGCTCTGCAGCGATCCTGGCTGGGAAAGACGTATCGTATATGGGGTAAGTTGAACCCTAATCGTAAATGTTTTCCGAGGTTCTCAAAGATGAAAGCGGAGCACTACCTCGTGGACTTGCATGATAATCAAAAGTGCAGTTATAAAGGTAAAAATATATTAAAACAAAACATTACGGAGAAGAATGCATTGTTTTATGATATAAACATGAGAATAAAATTTGCTAAATGGCCAATTTTTCCTCACAAGAACATGAGTGCAATAAAGCTACTGTGAGATAAAAGGAGTATTTGAAAACACTTTGACAAATTTAAAAAGAAGACAGATTTTTAAGCTTTTTCAAAAAAATACATTTATTGACTGCACCTTAATAAATTAATAAAAGCACAAACAAAAACAAAACAAAACATGGGGCTGATTTTACCCCCAAAAGACGACAACAAGGGTTAATAATAATGTTTAGTAATCTTTTGGGATGACTTAACCTTTTTAAACAAGTAGCACAAGAAACACGCTCAGCACCTCGATGCTGGAACCAGTTGAACTGAATGAACAGGAGCGGCTCCAGATGTTTCACTGTTCTGCCTGATATGCAAAGCAAGGGATGAATCAGCTCTTTATTGCTGCCAACTCACCACAAACAGAAACAAGTCTCACCTTCAGTCTGGACTCAGGCTGGTCGGAGCTCAGAACCAAAACTGCATCGTAGATCCTCTGAGTTGATCAGGAAAGACGCTGTGGTTGTAGATGTGTCAGTCTGTTGTGACTGACGTTTCCGAGGGTTCAGAAGTCACTTGTCTGTTTGGTCTGGCTAACTTTATTAACAGATAGGCAAACACACACAGTAAGTGAAGCTGCCACACTAAATGTAAACTCTGCCTTTCAGTATTCTGATGAATGCTCAATAATCCAGGTAGAAAAAAAAAAGTTTAATCTGGTCCTCTGGACATTCAAAAAACAAAACAAAGCAAAACAAACAAACAAACAAAAAATTGAAACGTTTCGTCTCTCATCTGAAAGACTTCCTCAGTCTGAGGTGCTGTATTCAGCTCAGTCTTATAAATAGCACCTTCTCAGAGTGGATCAACCAGTTTGCTGCTGACAACCCAAACCAGCTGATCACATGCTCAAGAAGGACCATCAGCCTAACGATGGATCATTAGCACACTGAAGGCTGTTTGCTATTCACAGGAGGCTGAGTGATACTAGCAATCACAGCATTGTAAGAGGGGGACAGTTGAACCCGGAGGCCTCCACCCCTGTTTAATGATGGACAATTTCTTTTCACAAAGATGGCCTCCTTTCGTTCCTCTCTGTCCAGGATGTGAACATCTACATCCCTGAAAAGAGTGACCGCTGGCCTGGAGATGAGTGTAGACCACAGAGTCCTTGCCTGATGATCTTGATCTTCTGTGCTGGGCCATCCTTTTGGCCAAAGAGTGACCGCTGGCCTGGAGATGAGTGTAGACCGCAGAGTCCTGGCCTGATGATGTTGATCTTCTGTGCTGGGCCATCCTTTTGGCCAGTGGCTGTTTAGTTTCCCCGATGTAAGACTGATCACAGCCCTCCTGACACTGAACAGCATACACAATATTACTCTGTTTGTGCCGGGGGACTGGATCTTTGGGATGAACCAGTCTTTGCCGTAATGTATTTTGGGGTTTAAAAGCCACTGGGACGTTATGTTTAGAAAATAAACGTCTCAGTTTCTCTGATACTTCCTCAACATACGGAATAATTATAATGATGTTATATTAAATTTCTTGTTCCACCATTTTTTAAAATTGATTTAGCAAAGCTTTTTAAAATTTTTAAAGTTTTTTAATCACATTTTTGTCTTGTGTTTTTTTTATGAGCCAGATGACAAAGACAAATCTCCATTTCATTGAATGTTATGGAGAATAAAGTTGAATTGATTGATTGATTAGATATTAACATACAAAAGAAATAGCCTAAAAAAATCAGCTCTAAAGATAAGCTATTATACAGATAAACAAAACTATTTTTAGAGCAAAATTATTTTGAAAAATATAGAACAAGGCTATTTTAATGGAACGCGCTGCTCGCTTCGGCTTTTGTAGATGCTGCTACTTCCTTCATCGCAGATGACAGCAGGGTGCTTAGACGTATGCAGCCGGTGATCAGCTGATCCATCTGAAGCTTAAGACTTTTTTACCTCTTTCAATTGGCCGGTCAGACCTCCCTCCTCCTCAACAAGTAGATTAACACAAATTTATATTGTGCATCCTTATTTAGTTTTCTTTGAGCTGTATGATTCGTAAAACCGTATCAAAAGCCCAAGATGGACACCTCGCCTATCAAGCACATCAATTTTTGCTCGACCTGGCCTGAATTTTGGGTCAAGCCAGGGCCAGGTTAGAAATCACAAATCTACAACAGGAAGGGGAGGAGAGAACGGGGAGGGGTGAGAAACGAAGTTTCAAAAAAGTCTAGTTAAAAAGCTCCTGCTGTTGAGTGTCGTTCTTTTAGATAAACAGCATTAATGAGAGATTGTCTCCAACAAACTGAATTTCACTGTAAATTATTGCCCCATGCTGCTCTGCTACATGAAAACATCTACTGTAGTAGCTATTTTAAGTTATTAGTTTATTTGAGTTAGTTAGTTAGTTATTTTTGTCTGTTTTCTTTGCCTTATTTTGGCTGTTAAGGCAAAAATGCCTCATCAAATGCCTCAGGTAACGTTGTGAGCTTCATTACTTCAATCATTACGGCTACAGTATCTTTTTTGTTTGTCGGAGCTCACCCTGGGTTTCATTTCCACGTGGGCAGAGTGATTTTACCATTCGCATCATGTCAACTGGATACAAAGTGTTACATGTTTACGCAGTTGCATGTTTCAAGTATGCAAGAGCAGTTTGCAGCCTTGTCTGGCTGGTCATTTCTCCAGCAGACAGACGTGAGGAGAAGCCTGACGGTAGAGGAAGTGCTAGCTGCAGTTTTACAGTCCTATGAGGAGAGAGAGAGCAGGAAGAGGAAGATAATTCTAGCAGGAAATAGATCAGGGGGAATTACGCCAAATAGTGAAATTAGAGGCGTAGGGTGAATTGTTTGTCCTGTTTTTTTAGGAAAATGTTCAAAAATTGAGCTCCATAAATCATGTAGTTTTGGACACATCCAAAACATGTGCAACAGAGTGGCTGGAGAAGTCTTACAACGGTCACATGTGGGATCCAGGTCCGTCTTGAATCTTGCGAGTTTGTCCTTTGACCAGTAAAGACGATGGACAACTTTAAACTGTATAATAGAATGCCTAAGAGACATTGATGAGGAGGAGATATTATTTAAAACTTGTAGCCAAGTTGTCTCTCTTTTAGACTTTCCCAATTCCCCTTCCCATCTTTGTTTAAGAACCTCCAGACTAGTCAATTTATTTTCATTACGCATTATATATATTTTACCCATGAGCTGCTTTGTACCAGCCTTGTATTTAAATATCAGATCTGACAGGGAAGAGGAGGGGTGTAGAGGAAATCATTCAGAGTTAAATGAGACAAATTGTCTAATTTGCAAGTATCAAAAAACGGGGATCTATGAATATTAAACTTCTGAGACAACTCTTCAAAAGAGGCAAATCTATTATTTACAGTAGATCATTTAAAGACCACATTCCAGATTTCACCCAACTGTCAAATGCCCTGTCCATAACCGAAGGTGTAAACAGGTGTTTTTTTTTTTTGCTAACAGCAGACAGCCACATCTCAGTAAGATAGGCTCTTTTAAATTGATTCCACATTTTGACTGAATGAATAACGACAGGATTCTGTGTATATGAAGAGATTGTTATTTTAAATAGTAGGCTGGAGCACAACAGAGATGCAAGAGATGTTTGTATCGTTGAGCTCTCCTCCAAATCTGCCCAGCTGGGTTTGACATCATCTCTACTCAACCAGTAAAGTAGAGGCTTGATATTTGCTGCCCAATAATAGTAGAGGAAATTTGGCAGGGACAAGCCACCAGTTGTTTGAGGTAAACGTAGAATTTCTTTCTTTACGCGTGGTTGTTTCTTATTCCATATAAACTGGGATATCTGACTAAGTTGATGAAAAAGGATTTTGTCAGATAGATGGGTATACATTAGAACAAAAACAAAAGTTTAGGAAGTATACACATCTTTATAGAATTGATTCTTCCACCCAAAGAAATGAGAAGAGTGTCCCGTCTATCCAGATCCTTCTTTAAACTAGAGAGTAGTGGTTGATAATTGGCCTGATAAAGGTCCTTGTGGCTTCACGTGACCCATAAACCTAAATACTTTTTATTTAGATTGACTTTAAAGGGGTTAGATGTAATGTGTTGCCTGAACGTAGATGAGACAGGCATTAACTCACTCTTTTGAACATTAACTTTGTAGCCTGATATTTCTCCCAATTTAGAAAGTACAGACAATAACTTCGGAATACTTTGATGTCAGAGTCAGAGTCAGAGATTCTTTATTGTCATTCGCATCACATGTGGTACATGTGGTGGAGTGAAATTATGTACACAGGGTCCCAGTTACATCCAACAATAAAATGGAAAAAAAAAACAATTATAACATCCAAGATATTAACTAAGAAAAACATCAACTAAATATACACTAAGCACTCATAACATAAAATCATTGAACATCAGCACAAACATGAACATGAGTCTTTGTGAACGGATGTGCACGCATGAACACATCAACATTGAAACAGATTAGCAGCAACATGAAACAGATCAGCAGCAACATGATATTGTTTTTCACAGTGATTATTCTAGTTAGAGATTCATGAGTCTAACAGCCTCAGGGTAGAAGCTGTTCCTCAGTCTAGTGGTTCTACACTTAATGCTCCTCAACCTCCTTCCTGAGGGGAGTGGGGCAAAAAGTGTGTGTGCTGGGTGAGTGAGGTCCTTCATGATGCAGGTAGCCCTCTTCCTGCATCTAGAGGTGTAGATGTCTGTGATGGTGGGGAGGCTGATTCCAACAGATTTCTGTGCAGCCTTCACCACTCTCTGCAAAGCTTTTCTTTCTGCAGCTGTGCAACCTCCATGCCACATGTTGATGCTGGAGCACAGAATGCTCTCCACTGCACACCTGTAGAAAGAGGTGAGGACTGAGCTTCCCAGACCAGCTTGTCTCAGCCGCCTGAGGAAGTAGAGTCTCTGATGAGCTTTCTTGATCAGGCTGGTGGTGTTGTTGCTCCAGCTGAGGTTGTCATTCATGTGTACACCCAAGTACTTGTAGCTGGAGACCACTTCTACCGCAGATCCTATTAGGGGGGTGTAGATGTTTCTGTTCCTTCTGAAGTCCACAATCATCTCCTTTGTCTTCTTCACATTGATTTGAAGGTTATTCTCTTTGCACCAGGTCTCCAGGTGTTCCTTCTCCATGTGGATCTGATACAAATAGAAGCATATCATCTGCATATAGAGAGACCTTGTGTTCTACCCCACCATGAAGAATCCCCTTAATTTTAGGGTTCTTCTGTAAGGCCAATGCCAGGGGTTCTATTGCATTAGCAAATAGGAGTGGTGAACGAGGACACGCCTGTCTTGTACCACGTTGTAGTTGGAAATAACTTGAGAGATTATTGTTAGTCCGTACAGCAGCCATAGGGAGAGTATATAAAGTTTTGATCCAGGATATGAATTTGGGACCAAACTTAAAATATATATATATATTATGTACATTACATAATAACCTACATTTGATTTGACATTTAACAACTCTTTCAGAGCTTATGCTTACCACGCAGCTCTTTAAATTAAGCTGTCGCAAATTATCTTCATGATTGAAGTGCTGTTTAGCATTATGAAGTTAGTGCTCCTTTGTACCACAGTGAAAGTCGTGGAGAGAATTTTTGACCTTGGGCGAAAAAGACACAGAAGCTGCTGGATCCACAAGATGGACATCATGGCCGAGGTGTTTGACATGCAATGACTGAAAACCTCCTGAATGAGGATGATTGTAAACGTAGATTACACAAGTCCTACACCTTTTTAACTCCACTGCAATGTTCATTTACAACACATGGATATTCTGTATTATGGTTACGTTTTTCAGTACTCATTACAGATAAAACCGAAAAAATACATAAATAAAAAAACTGGACTTTGTAACTGAAGATGTATCACTTTTCATTCGAGGCTCTTTCTCAATTTAATGAAACGAGGAGTGTGATTCAAGTTATAAAGCTGTGGTGTGCCGTAAGCTTGTATTATGGAGACTGGTGCATGCAGATCAATCTCCAGCAAGTTTACAGAACACCACAGCTTTATAACTTTAATCCCATATTCCTTTTTTCATTGAATTGTGAGTGCTCCTCGGATGATTAGCGAAACATCTTCAGTTTTAAAAAAAGTCCTGTGGTTTTGTTTTTATCTGTTTTGCGGGGGATTTGCCGTGTCAAGGATAACTGAGACTCTTCACCAGCATTGTTACAGGTAAAAAACAATTACTTCACTTATCTACACTATTGACGTAAAAAAACACTGTAAGCACTTCACTTTTGATGATCAGATGGAAGCTCAAGACTTGAAAATGTTTCTTTTATTAGAAATAAAGACCTGTACAAAAAAATAATTATACACTAATTATATATGCAAACTTAACAAGCTACATGTTTGGCTATTTGTGGGCTTACCTTGCAGGATCTACATTTCTATATATCAACTATGATCTACTCTAAATATTTTTAAACATGTCTGTTTGCCATGGAACAGGCAATGGATTCCAGCACCCCAAGGAGTGCCTGACTGAAAGCAGCACTCTGTTCAGCCTCCTGCCTTCGCTGTGCTGCTTCCTCTCTGCGAACATCTGCTTCCTCTCTCCTCAAGGTCATCTCCTCCCTCCTAATTGCCTTCTCCTGCTTCCTCGCTGCTGCAGCTTCTTCTTGCCTTGCCTTGTTGGCATCCTCACAAATAAAATGGAAGTGTTCCTCTCTCTGCTTCCGGTTCATCTCCTCTTGTTCTGTATGCGCAGAAACAAAGCTCTCTGCTGCACTTGTTGATCTGCACTTTCTATTGCCTAGGAATAACACACAAGAAAATGGCTGTTAGATGATGAAGTACAGGTAGAGTTTTTAAATAAATTATTTACATTAAAGTTCCTGCTAATTTGAAAAGGTGTTTGTTCACAAGATCAGAAATGATTCTGTTCATAAAGCAGTCTAGTACTTGAATGATAGTAAGCAGGTGGGCATAAATAAACTACATGTAGTCATTTACTATGGTTGTGCTAATTTAGAAAAAGAACAGAGCATCGTTAATCTGAACAAAAATCACTAAACCCTGTATAATTTCAATAATAAACTTCATAAATGAAAGTTTAAGTAATAAATGATAAATTAAATTTAACATTTATACATTACAACTGAATAAACACGTAGTTTGAATACATGCAAGGTGTTTTACAACAAAATCAAAACAACATTCATATCGACATGATCAATGTGATGTTAAACACGATTGTTGCTTCTTCTTACCTAGTAACGGGTGCTGTTTGGTGCCGCTCTGCTGCGTGTTGCCTGGTGGCGTGGATGTGCCCGGTGGCGTAGATGTACTCGGTGGCGTAGATGTACTTGGAGCTGGTGTGGTCGGGGAAGGGTCAGAAGCGGGGAGGATTGGACAGTCAAAAGCAGAATCTGGCGAACCTTCATCTTCAGTGGGACTTTCTGCATCAAAATAAGAGTGGAAAAACAGCAACAGACTACAGTTAGCAATTATGCTAACTAATGACGACTTAACCGTGTCAGCCTCGTTTGTTCAGAGTACTTTCAGAAAACGCAAAGAAAC